TCCCTCTCCTCCTTTCTCTCTCTGTTCTCTCTCTCTCTCTCTGTGTCTCTCTCTCTCTGTCTCCCTCTCCTCCTTTCTCTGTCTCTCCCTCTCTCTCTCTCTCTGTCTCTCTTTCTCTACCTCTCTCCTCTCTCTCTGTTCTCTCTCTCTCTCTGTTCTCTCTCTCTCTCTCTGTGTCTCTCTCTCTCTGTCTCCCTCTCCTTCTCCTTCTTTCTCTGTCTCTCCCTCTCTCCTTCTTTCTTTCTCTCTCTCTCTTTGTCTCTTTCTCTCCCTCTCCTCTCTCTCTCTCTCTGTTCTCTCTCTCTCTCTCTGTGTGTCTCTCTCTCTGTCTCCCTCTCCTTCTCCTTCTTTCTCTGTCTCTCCCTCTCTCCTTCTTTCTTTCTCTCTCTCTCTTTGTCTCTTTCTCTCCCTCTCCTCTCTCTCTCTCTCTGTTCTCTCTCTCTCTGTCTCTCTCTTTCTCTCTCTCTCTCTCTGTCTCCCTCTCCCTCTCCTTCGCTCTCTGTCTCTCCCTCTCTCCTTCTCTCTCTCTCTCTCTCACACACAAACACTTTCAAGAGTCTCACAAAATGTCCCAACCCCCAAGGCAAACACTTAGGTCCGTTTTTTTCTTACCGTGGTCCCTGCACGCCTGGTTCCTGGACTGGGGTGCCTCACTTATTTTCTCCTACTCCCCTCTTGAGTGCTGGGTCACTCTGACCATATCCTGGGACTGCAGTCAATCGGAGGAGATGGACGAGCCCTCCCCCCAGGGGTGGCGAGGGGAGGGGGATTGGCCCCACTCCCTGCAATGACTTTTAAAATCCTGGAGGAGCCCCCCCCACCCCCAACTTGTGAGAAATGCCCTCCCTTAGTCAGAAATGGGGCAGGGTCCCGACGTGAAGCAGCAAGGAGTTCTATTGTAAAATAGGTTCTTGCATAAAGGGGGTAGTCAGCAGGAGTAGGCACACCCCCAAACTAGATCTCGAGCCTTTTATCCCCTCGGCCGCCCCCGGAGCAGAAATCCCTCCCCTGCCACCCTATTTGAGGAGAAACACACAAACTTTCCGGAACGCCTACTTCCCCCCCCCCGCCTCCCCTTTTTGGGGAATTTCCCTCCCTTTGCTTCCTCCCAACCCCTTATCTAGTTTCTCTCCCACCCTCTTTTGTTTTTACATTACATCAAGTTTTTTCGTTTGTTTTAATTTAGCAATGCGTGCAATTTTGCTCAACTCACAGAACCTCCGGTTTCCTTGGAACTTGTAGGACATGTTTTAAAGTTGTTGTTATTATTTATCAGAATAAAGACACAAAAGAGTTAATATAGGTTGTTGCTGCTAAATGCCATGTCTGTTGTGAACAAAGCTCTCCTCATCCGGGATTTAATATTAGACGAGGAGGCAGTCCTGTCCTCCGGGAGCTGCGCTGGCTATTCAAGGAGCCAAGGTGGCGCAGTGGTTAAATGCANCCCCGCCTCTCTTCTCAAGCCTGGATGAGATTGTCCACTAAAACCTGATTCAGGTTCCGCTTGTAGCGGGGTCACAACCGGACTGGGGACTTCCTGATAAGGGGGTGGTGGGGGCAAAGAGTCCAAAGGGTCAAAGGGCTTTATACCCTGGCCCACCTCCCTTCTCAAGCCTGGGTGTGATTGTCCACCAGGGCCCAGTTCTGGCAGTCCCACAGTGGCCTGGTCTATGAAACACACAGCCGGACTGGAGGCTCCCTCCTGCTCCTGACCCTGGGGTCCATCAAGGGTTGGGGGCAAAGAGTCCCGAGCCATGGGTCCCTCCTTTCGAGCTCCCATCGTGGCCCTCCCGTGGTCAAACAGGCCAAGATTGCCAGCTCCTTTCCAACAAGAGGCGTATTCGGATTCCTCCTGGGAGAAAGGTTGCTTGTTGTTTACGTAGCTTTTCAACATCTGGCACAGCCAGTCCTCTTCCGATCCATAGCATGGCCAGAAGACGGCTGGTGGCCCAATGCTATCCCTGGTCCATACCGAACAACAATACTTCATCATTTTCTTCTTATCCTTGGACCTGGTGTAGGGATTATCTTTCCAATCCTTCAGCATCCTGGCCAAGGGACTATCCTGGGGGACGCTTGCCAGGATGTTTGGCTCCACATCTCCTTTGTCTCCCTCAGGCCTAGAATTCTCATTCCCCATTCTGTCTCTTTTTCTCTTTTATGCCCTCTTAACGCTTCGTCTCCCCTCTGGCGGTTTTCCTCAAGGAAGAACAGACAGGATCCAATCCTTATTCTCTCCCCCACCCTCTCTCTGTCTCCCTCTCTCTCTCTCTCTGTCTTTCTCTGTCTGTCTGTCTCTGTCTCTGTCTTTATGTCTCTGTCCCTCTCTCTTTCTCTCCCCCCTCTGTCTCCCTCTTTCTCTCTCTCTGTCTTTCTGTCTGTCTGTCTCTCTCTATCTGTCTCTCTCTCTCTCTCTGTCTTTATGTCTATCTGTCTATCTATCTCTCTTTCTCTCTGTGTGTCTCTTTCTCTCCCCCTCCTCTCTCTCTATGTGTTCTCTCCCTCCCTCTTTGTCTCCTTCTCCCTCTCTCTGTCTTTCTGTCTGTCTCTTTCTGTCTCTGTCTTTATGTCTGTCTCTCTCTCTCTCTCTCTCTCTGTGTCCCTCTTTCTCTCTCTCTGTCTTTCTGTCTGTCTGTCTCTCTCTATCTGTCTCTCTCTCTCTCTCTGTCTTTATGTCTATCTGTCTATCTATCTCTCTTTCTCTCTGTGTGTCTCTTTCTCTCCCCCTCCTCTCTCTCTATGTGTTCTCTCCCTCCCTCTTTGTCTCCTTCTCCCTCTCTCTGTCTTTCTGTCTGTCTCTTTCTGTCTCTGTCTTTATGTCTGTCTCTCTCTCTCTCTCTCTCTCTGTGTCCCTCTTTCTCTCTCTCTGTCTCTCCTTCTCTCCCTCTCCTCTCTCTCTCTGTTCTCTTTCTCTCCCTCTTTCTCTCTCTCTCTCTGTCTCCCTCTTTCTCTCTCTCTGTCTCTCCTTCTCTCCCTCTCCTCTCTCTCTCTGTTCTCTTTCTCTCCCTCTTTCTCTCTCTCTCTCTGTCTCCCTCTCCTCCTTTCTCTGTCTCTCCCTCTCTCTCTCTCTCTGTCTCTCTTTCTCTCCCTCTCTCCTCTCTCTCTGTTCTCTCTCTCTCTCTGTTCTCTCTCTCTCTCTG